TTTTACAAGTTATAAGAGTTTTACAATAGTTTTTTATAAGAGTTTTACAAGTTATAAATACCTTATAAAACCTTATAAGTACCTTGTAAAACGCTTTTAAAATACATTGTAAAACCTTACAAAACACTTGTAAATACTCCGTAAAACCTTTAAAATACCTTGTAAATTTTTCCCGCCAAAAATTTTCCCGCCAAAAAAATTTCGGCAAAAAAATTGCGGAATCACTTTTCCCGCAAAAAAAAATTTTTGGCGGGAAAATTTTTTGGCGGGAAAAATTTTTAAGGGAAAATTTTACAAGGTATTTTAAAGGTTTTTACAAGTGTTTTGGCGGGAAAATTGCGGGATCACTTTTCCCGCCAAAAAATATTTTGTATTTTGTGGACCTAATTTTGTTTCAAATAAGGGTAAAATGGTCATTAAAAATTAAAAGAGGGCAAACTTAAAAATAGACTCTCAAAAGGGGCATTTTTGAAAAGGGGTATTAAAAAAAGGGCATTTTTAACAATTTCTCTATTTTCATCAACATGGTAAAGTTTTTGGCATCGAAAGAAATTTGTTTCAGATAGGTTAAGTTCTTTATTTGTTTCAAAAAAATTTCACCATGATAATTGTTTTTTAACTATGTACTTTACTTTAAGACAAACTACTGTTCTTCAACAATTTCAATGAAGAGCCTTTTTTTTTTTTTTAGGTAAATGAGGAGAATTTTGATTAAGAATATAGTGAGTTGTGGATTTTTGCGGCCATAAACTAATATTTATCTAGTAATCGCTAAATACTGAAATTGATGAATACGCTAATATGAATTTATAGGGTTATGCTAGCAAAGTAAAACATTAAAGCTTATGCTAGCGAAGTGAAATTTGTTTGGCTATATGTTTTCAAAAAAATGTTCCACATTTTATGAATTGGAAAAGTAATAGGGAAGATCAAAATTTGGATAGAAATATTCCCCATTCAATTTTTGCCAAGTGTAAAACCAGATTGTTTAAAAAATAATATTAAATTGAAGTTCTATCAACAATTATTGAGTAATTCCAGTTTTTATCTGGGATTATTGTTGATTTTGCCTTTTTTTACCAAAATCTTTTGAAAATGCTATTTTTACAAAAATCTTAGAGCATGTCTAGTGGGAGTCTCTCACTAAAGTTTCTCGGATAAAAGAAAAATAATAAAATAATAAAAAGTATTATTTAATTATGAGGGTCTCTCCAAAAAGTTGAAAAAGTCTCTCAAAGTCTCCCACTTGAGAGATTCACCACTTTTTTGAGAGACTCTCACAATTAAATAATAGTTTGTATTATTTTATTAATTTTTTTTTATCCGAGAGACTTTGGTGAGAGACTACCACTGCACATGCTCTTATGGATTTGCCATTTTTAACACTTAAAAATGTACGTATTTACAATTTTTTTTCACAAAATTATGTATTTTATACCAAATACTAAACTCTAAGAACAAATGGAACCGACTAAACCCAAACATAACGGATAAAACGCATGTTAAATCACTTTGAAAAATGACAAAATCTACAAACTATTAAAAAAAAAGGTAAAATCTACAAACTATTAAAAAAAAGGTAAAATCCACAAATACAATTAAAAAAATGACAAATCCCTAAGTAATTCTTTTTATTTTTTATATTTTTTGCGTGATATATGTCCAGGTCATTTTTTGCATCACATGGAATAGAAGACATACTGCCAAAAATGGGAGGAACCACATCGCAAGGCAATGATGATTGGAGAGATCTGGAGATAATGGGCCAATGAGACCCTTTTGGATATGCTTAGAGCATCTTCAGTCTATCTCTATGTCATCTCTAAAATAGAGTTTGGAGTAAGATTTTCTCCAATCTATCATCATTTTTAACTTTAAAATAGAGATTTTATTTTTTTTCTATATTTAGAGACTTCTATTTTTAATTTATACTAAAATTTGGAGATCTCCATTTTTAACTCCAAAATAGAAATACTCTATTTTGGAGAAAAAGATGAAGACATAAGTTGGAGATGGTCTTACAAAGCAAAGCTTTTAGAGATCAAACTGAATTATTGGAAACAAGATAGATAAAACTTGAATCATGCATTTTAGTAGATTCTTAAAATATTACCAAATTTTGAATTGCATCAAGATGTTTCTATTAAATAAAAAACCTGAATAAGCATCTCATAATATACCAAAAATATATATGAAGTAATAATGTAGGTGTTTAAGTTATTTGAGATATAATGACAAAAAAGTCTTATCATGGAATACACAATATATAATATTATTATGTTTTTTTAGAAAATTTTCTTATAACTATATTTTACCAAATTTATGAACTTACACTGTCGAAATTAAATATTAATTAGTATTTTTTAATATTTTTTTTGGTTTTTAATATTCGTTGTATTAGTTTCTCCGTTTGTTAAAAAAATACGAACATGTTGTTTTATTTTATTTTATGTAAGCTCAAATTTTCTAGATGAAACTATTTTTGTTTCTACGAAGAATTTTTTTTTTCAAAGTTTCAATGGATGAAATTATTTTGTCAAAAGAAAATCATATAAAATTAATCATTAAATAAAGAGTCCCTTTAATAAATAAAAACAACTAAAAGCACAATTCACGTGTAGTGGAAAAAACGAAATACACAATTTCACGTGTAGTGGGTCGTGGGACATCATTATAGTACTAAATAGTAAATATCATATCCAAAATAGTACTAAATAGTAAATATCATATCATAAGATAGTACTAAATAGTAAATATGATAAGATATTGCTTACTTTTCGGGTGCAGCTTCGAGAAAAATTAGTGCAATATAATCTATAATAAATAAGATATTTTGTTTCACCTAACACTATAATTCTGTCACACATCTCACATGCGACCGACCAACGATATCTCTAATGGGCTCGGGCTTAAAATTTATAGGCTATACGAAAAAGACTCTTAAGGCCCAAAATATATCAGTTATCAATGTTAATTTATAGTGTATTATGATCTCTGAATATGCTTATGCTTGAGGCCTTGAGCATCATCAGCATTCAGCATTCAGCAATCACAACATTCAAAGCCAATCATTCTAGTGTAATTGAATAAAGATGACAGTTTTTTTAGTTGTAAGCTAGTCCATAGATATGAGGTCTTGTTATCCAAGGGAAGCTACACATAGAATAAGTCTCTACTTCAACTCCACTAAAACCAGCTTCCAAGATACACTCTCTCGTGTTTCTTGTCAAATGGCATCCATCTGCAAGTCTTTGCTGCAACGGATCCAGCAATTTCTGCAAACGCTTGAAGAACGATCCATCTGCAACAACCGGATACGAATTCAGGTTTTGTCTGCTATAGAATATGCATGGTAAATTGGTAATTAAGAGTTCTCTCACTCTCTCTTTTTCACACTTATTTATGAACCTTTTGCTGCCACATGTTCTAAGAAGATGAAAACCCCTCCTGGTCTCAGCACCCGTTTGATTTCTGAAATTACCATTGAACTTATGAAAAGGTTTACTTACTTCCGCAATGAGGTTTAAGTAGGAAGAAAGAATTACCTTTGAGTGTTTGAGTGACATCAGAGACAGAACATAGAACAAGTGTTGCAACAACTGCATCCACAGAGTTATCTTTTAATGGTATAGCTTCTCCTACCTAATGATAGACAAGATCAAACACCAGTGGATTATAAACAAGTCAAAATGTAGGATGCATAACAGAAAACTTACTCCTTGCTTGAATCTAAAGTTTTTAGGTTTCAATCCTGCTTTCGTAGCGGATTTGCGTGCGTACTTCTTCATTTTGGGATTTGGATCCAACCCATAAAGGGTAACATTACTATTACGAGCAGCATAGTACCTCATATTAGGACCTGAGCCAATACCAATCTCCAACACCCTTTCAGCTTTTTCACTCAGTTTATCAAATACCTTCACCTTGCAAGCCTCAATCTTACCAAAGAAGAAACAGAGCAAATCAAAACTGTAAGACAGAGGAATCATCAAATGAATGTTCATAAACACAAACCTCTTCCCAATAAGACTGCATCAATAAGTTAAAAAACCACGAGTAGAGCCTCCTAATATACCACCGGCCTCTGCGGATGATGTGCTCCCGGAACATCCTGATGTACATAACAGTCACACACCAAACTCTAAACAATATCAACTTCTTGAATCATACAGAACTCACTCTAATCAAGAAATCCAACTTCCAGATGTGATCAATGCAAAAGACACAATCTTTGCGCAGATATATCATGACATACTAGTAGAGAGATTCGTTTGTGAATTCTAAGATCAACTTTTGGCCTATGCTAAATGCATCTGGGAACAAATAGATTTGAGTCCTTACCTTCGAACACTGAGCATTGAGTAGTATCAGTAGGTGGAGGAATAGCAACCTCAAGGAAGGTGAGTGTTCTGGGTCTTAGATCATACATGGAAGCTCCAATTTAATGGTGGGAACAAAGTTACTTACATTGGAAAGGTCAAGTCAAGAAGGAAACAACAAAGAAAAGAGGACTAGTTGGTGAAAAGAGAGAATAAAACAAAAACCAAGGCGGCAAGTTGACGCTACTGGTTAAGAAAGTATTGGAGTTGACTTTCCCAATTCCGACATTTTGAAGCCTTTGTTTGAGTAAGAAGACGTCATAGGCTTTTGAATAACTCACAAGGACTCTACCTAATCTTGGATCTCATGTCATATCAAGACAAATAAGTAATTTATAGAGATGCCAAGATTGGTTGTTTAGATGTCTATAGAACTTGATTTGTATAATGAATCATTACGAGGGATTTGATGGATCATTAATTAAAGCAAATCATTTGCAATCGTCCAATAGACGTTCGGAGCCACGAGGTTTGTTAAGTGATACAGATTTGCTGTCCCAAGTATGATAAGGTAAGAGACTTGATATTACAACCGTTGCAAAGCAAACCTGGTCGCTTATTCTTCTGTAAATTGACTTGTGATGTTGTTTGTTTGAGCTTCTCAAGAGATCTATATGTTGTTCATGATTTGATGTTGTCTTTCGCGTCACCATCGCTGCCTCCATCGTCCTTTAAATTTGTATTGTCAACAGCAGATGCGCAGGCTTGGTCATCGGGAGATTCGTTGTTATCAGTCTCAGAGTCTGATTTTGACGAAATGCGTTGAATGACTTGAGTGATATGTCAATGGAATCAAGAAAAACAAAGGTACTGAATCATATCTAATATGTTACCTTCAGTCTCGCCTGAAGAATAAGCCATTCGTCTTGCTCTTGGTTGCTGATGCGGGGTTGGCTGTTGCGTGAACAGAGATTAATGTCAACGCGAAAAGCAAGAAACAAAGAAAGGCAGAGTCTTCACTTTACCTGCAGTTTTGGGCGGAGAGCTTCCAAAGGTCCTTTCGGTTTCTGACCTTTTTGCTGATAAAAATGTCAAATTCAAGTCTTTAATATATTACACACCACATACAAAGACAGTAGCAGGAAGAAAAAAAGATAGTTACAAAGATTGGTATGCAAGACTCACCTTGCCTAAAGCCCAATCAGCGGAGTCAAAAAACGCGCGTTCATGGTCCTTGAATGAAACATGAACACAGCTGAATTAGCTTCTCTAATTAAAAAGTGCTTCTCATTGTAACAATAGGCGGAAAAAAACAAAGCTACCTTAGATATCAACGGAATCTTCTTTGGCAACAATCCTCCATACTTTTTCTTGATCGCATTTTCCTACAATCGAATACCAAAAACAAAGTTCAGATTCTACGAAAAACTTTCCGAATACAGAGAAAGATCATAACTATGTTCCCTCAACCTAAAACTCTAGTAGCTAAACTCCAACAGTAAAAGAAACAAACAATTCAAAAAATCACCTCACTCTCCATTTCATCTGAAACCTTGTTGTCAATAGGAGCATCATCAGTAATCTCCTTCCCCTTCACGTCTTCCATAACTGAGTTTTAACAAAAGTATGTTTTCAAGTTCAAGTCCAGAACAAAAACTATATAACATCGTTGATTAGAAAAAGTCCACTTCCCGCGAAATCATTAATATAAAGCTATAAGGAGAAATCGAATCTTATAGAGATCTAGACATGAACTCTAAAACCACATTAGAAACCGCCATTAATAAAACCTTCAAGCAACAGTTTCATCTTTTACTCGAACATGAATGATCAAGAAGAAGAAGAGAAAAATTAAGCGGAAACAGAGTTTAGAGAAAGAGTTTTACCTGAAAGAGGATCGCCGGTTACAGTATGGAGATTCCGGCGAGAAACCGGGGCAGTAGATCGGATCTGGTTATTTTAGTGATTTTTTTTATTTCCGGAGCTGCACGTTTCACGATGACGATGCCTCAACTTAACGCAGCAAATATTCTCTTCTTTTCAAAAAAAAAAGGGGGAGATTTGGGCCTTGATGGGCCGAATATTCCTATACAAAAAGATTCTTTAGTCCTAGTCATGTTTTTTTATTAGTAGGTTTTGTGTTCATGTTGGCTTTAAACAATGTTGTGATACTATTAGTGTTCTTGTTTTTAACAGTTGTATGAGTGTATCCACATTAATCCAATCGATTAACTTGATCCGATTAGTGACATAAAGCGCTACAAGTTTTTTTGATACCGGAATAGTTAAGTTAGAAAAAAAAAATAAAAAAAAATAATAATGCTTGAAAAGGGACATTTCTGTAGTGGTTTTAGCTCGAAATTCGGTTATCATTCTATATTCGTATTTCTTGATATATAAGAAATGAAATTTACTGAAGTAAAAGGGAAATTTTTTTGCCTCACAATTGTTGTTTGATCTATAAAATCGATCTTATTGAGTAGTTTGAGAACAAAATAGTTATAAAGATTTATATCTCTTCTTGGAACATTTCACATGGATTTGACTTCGTATAGTTTTTTTTTTTTTTTTTTTTTTCCCTACGAACGTCTGGATACAGTAACCTTCAAACCATGAGCCATGGATAAGATCGTCATCATCCGATACTTGACAGGATGATTTGGCACCAAATGAAACTTATAGAATCTGCAAAGTATTGCCATTGCCATCTTCATTTGAAGATAAGCTGAATCCTTTCCCAAACATATCCTTGGTCCAGCCTACATTCACACAACAACTCATATTTTCATGTTCAAAATCATTCACAATCTTGTATGTGTTTGGTTATAGTTACCTGAAAAGCTGTGAACTTGAATGGTGATGCATTCTGAAAGATTCCATCTTTAAGCCATCTTTCGGGTTTAAACAATGCTGCATCTGATCCCCAGTTGTATTCCATACGACCCATTGAGTAAGGCACATATGTAACCATCCCTCCAGCTTTTACTTTTGTTCCATTTGGTAACATATCATCTTCTAATACTCCTTTCGGATCCTACGAATAGTTTAAAACATCGTATATACATTCTTTCTTTTCTTTGTTTAGAAATGGATTCTATGGTTTGCATACCTGAGGAACTGCAGGGTAGAGACGAAGTGTTTCTGTTATCACAGCATGTAAGTAGTGAAGTTTTCCTAAGGAATCGTAGTTTAGTAGTCCTGCGAATTGCGTTACCCTCTCGTTGAAGGAACTGAAATCCTCTGTATCGTATTGATGCAACGATGTATTAGTCTGTTCTGCGCTTTCTTTTTCGAGTTCTTTTAGCTCTGAGTATAGTTTCTCAGCAACATTTTCATTCATCATTATCATGTATATAGCCCAAGTGACAGTTGTTGCTGTTGTATCTCTTCCAGCTATTACAAAGTTGAGGACAATATCTCTTAGGCTTTTCTCTGTTTCTTTGCTATCTGGATCGTCGCTGATCTCGATAAACCTTGAGAGTATATCGTGCTTCACCTGGTTACATATGAGAAAAAAATGTTACTAATGTGACAAGTGCATATATTTACATTTTTGAGTTGTAACAAGTTTTTTACCGTGTTGTTGTTGGTAGGAGATTTCTGTGCCTCTAATAACTCTGCTTTCCTTCTTCTTATGACTGAATAAGTGAAATCATTGACGACTTTTATGCTTTTACCAAGCAATGCCTCAGAGCCTATGTTAAGGAACTTTTTCAACTTCCAGAGAGGATCTATGAAACGAAGTGTTACGATTATATTAGCGGTATCGAAAGCCTTAGCAAAGTGATTCTCTGGTAACTCTGGAGCCAATGTCCCTATCTCTACACCAAATCCAACTTTACATATGGAGTCCAAAGTCATTCTCAACAACAATTCCTAGAGCCAAAAAAGGATGTTATGTAGAGAAACTAAGTTTATAGATTTGAGTGATTGATGGATTATTACCTGCATATCTACTTGTTGGTTTTTGAAAGATGCTTGGGAAAGGATATTGAAGAGCTTGAGACTATACTCTTTAAACACTACAGTACTAAAATCTCTGAGATTCTTGGAAGCAAATTCGAAACTCGCGGTTTTCCTCTGTTTCCTCCAAAGCTCTCCATCTGAATTGAAAATCCCATCTCCCAAAAGAACCTCCATGTATGAATGGTAAGTCTCTCCCTTATGAACACAAAACATTAATGAAAGTTACGACAAAACTTATACATGAAATTGATATAATGAGTTTGTTTTTTCACCTTTGGGTAATTGGAGAAGTTGGTTTTGAGGACATATTCAACATTGATGGGATCAGCTATGTATGTATAAGTGGTGAATGGCATTGGAACCACTACTGTTCTTGAGTTATAAAGATACTCAACGAGCCAATCGTGCATTCGATCAAAATTGGTCAACTGTTCGATCGCGGCTCCAACCAAAGGCCAAGTCTTTGGACCACTCTTGTTCCTTTGTCCCCATCGGTGCAAGAAGATCCATGATGTTACCATACAAGCTATAACCAAACACAACGACATTTTTTACCTCTTTGAAATCTGAAAAATAAGTTGTAAATAATTCACAGAGTTTTTATATTGTTTAGCCATCAGCCAAAGTCCGTGAGCAATCTACTAATCAACTAACAGTCTTTTTATCATCTTCGCAACACTTCTTTGGTGTGTTTTCTTTCTTAAACTAGTTTGGTCTCTTGGTTTTGTTAAACCGTGTTTGGTACACCAAAACCGGTCAAAATTGAAATTAGCAAAAAAGGGTCCACATATTTATGATAAGTTTCATCCACTAATGTTTGAGTCTGCGCAGACTGAATCAAAAATGAGGTTTAAAGTACGATGATGACGACAAGTAACATTCGTTATCTAATAAAACGACAGAGATAAGTAACCCAAAATGCATTGTATCTGGCGTTGATTCCTCCACACGTCATCGACTTTTTGATCCCAAGTTAACGTAATCTCAATCTCTCTTTTTATCATTTTAAAACCATCGTATAGGACAAAAGTCTTTTTGTTGTGTTATATTTAATAAAACAAAAGATTTTTGTTTTATTAGTTCGTAATGTAAATCAAGACCTTGACTTCGTCTTATCATGCTGAAACAACTTAATTTTTAATTAAACATTGATTTTCATTTCACATTAATTCATATGGGAGAAATATAAAATCCCATTGGGTTTTAGTTATAATATTTTACAATTTTCTTGCTTGTACCCAAACTAACAAAATATCTACCAAAGTAATTAACATTCCAAGCACATCTTTTTACTAAACCCATCACTAGAACTTAAACATAGCTTGACGATGATGATTCAAGATCTCGTCTTGGTTAAACTGTAGATCCCCGAACCATCCAGACTCCGAATCAGGTTGATGAATATGACCGAACTGAGTAAAGTTATCGGTGAAAATGTGAGAGACTGGTCCCATGTAATCCATTTCCAACAAATGAGCCAGCGAACACGTCCTTGGAAGTTTCGTCGACGTCATATTCATCATTATCTCTTCCTCATTTCTTCTCTCTGCTTCGTTAACAGCAACTGTTGCCTCATCAATTAGTACTTCGTCAATGAAACCCTCTTGCTCATTCAGAAGCTTCCCGGCTCCTCTCTTCTTGTATATCCTACACAATACCCATTCATCTAACTGCAAAAATATGAAGAAATTTAACATTATCACAAGTTGTAATAAAATAAACATGACCTATAAATTTGTTTACTCTGCTTACGCACCCTCATAGAACCGCTACGTTTCGTTGATGCTTTACGTGAATCGTGGAGACGATACTCATGCATGATCCAGTCAGTTTTGATTCCTTTAGGAGGTCTACCTTTGTAGAAGACAAGAGCTTTCTTGACACCTACGTTACTCGAACCGCTATGAATAGCTTTGTCTGTACCGGTTGCTTTCCAATAACCGGAAACAGCTGCCCGGTTTGGTCTGACTCCGTTTGGATACTTTCTTTCTCTAGGGCTGAAGAAATACCACTCATTTTCTCCAAACTCTGTTTTCTCTGTAAAATACAAAACGAAAAAAAAAAAGCAAATAAGCCCAGTAGCTCTAAACATGAACATCTAGAAGAACAGATTACCAATGAAAGATAACCGGGTCTAACCAGGTAATTGCCATGGGTCGAATTTATAGATATCGACTTCTGGGATGATGGAGACAGGGCATGGTTTAGACATGGTCTGGTTTCGAAGATAGTACACGATGAGTTCTTCGTCGGTAGGATGAAATCTGAATCCTGGAGGGAGAGTAGAACTGGAATTTACTTCCATGATTTTCAGACAATTTAGAAGAAATATCTAATGGAACAGGAGCTGTTTTTTTCTTTCTTGATGTTTTCAAGGTTCTTGAAATGTTTAGAAAGCAGAGAAGATTGGTCTTTTTATGCTTGAGCTTTTTGTCGTTTACTGCGCGTCACTTCTTTCTTATTGGTGGCTAAATTGCAGTTTTAAATACTACTTCATTTTGTCCTTCTATAGTCTAATGTCCTATATTATCCCTGTCCTAGCTATTGTTTTTCTAAATTCTAATTTTTGTCAAATGGTCATCAAACAGCCACGGTTAAAAAGTTTTATAAAAGAATTTGAATTAGATGTTGGAGTGTGACTGGTGAACTTATTGAGTAATTATTAGTATTGTTCTTCACCTCAAAACATGTGACCTAAAAGTACTTTTTATAAAGCTATATTTTCTTAAAGTAGCTTAAACATTTTTCAATTTAAATAGATATATAATTTTACTATTGGATGACAATAATTACTTAACAAAATACATTGTATAATAATTTCCAGCTATAATTCCTTAAAGTAGCTGAAGCCTGAAACATTTTCAGTTTAAATAGATAATGTTACTATTGGATGACAATTTCTTGCAGAATACATAGTATAATAAACTTTATAATATATATATATATATATAGTATAATAAATTATTTTATTCTAAAATGATTTAACAATTTGTCTTTCATGATATGTGATGAACATGTCTATCCAAAAAAAAAACAAATATTTTTTTTATTTCTAATTTATATTTCTATTATTTGATGGTGAATTTCGGTATTTATAAGTATTGTTGGTTCTCTATAACTTGTAGAAATCGCAGATAGGGTTGTCTCTATAATTAATCACTAGGATCGGATCCGCGGTCCACCGCGGGAGAATATTGATTTACATACGTTGATTTTAATATTGTGCGTGTTTTTAGTAGAACGAATCGTGTAATGTACTTATAAATATTCCTAATAACAAATTGTAAAGAAAATATTAAATTGTTTATAATTAAATCAATCGTATTAATTATGATTTACAAAATGGAATTTTGTGTTTTAGAATTCAAAAATTAGACGAATCATGAGAATTAAAGCAGTCAAAATAGGTCAAAACCGTGGGTCGAGCCCAAATCATCTCACTATAGGCCAGATTTGGGAAAATATATTAAACCCGCAAATAAGCAGGCCACATGGATTGATTCGCAGTGGGTCATCGGTTTTCGTCCGGGGGTTGGCGGATCAACCCGCATGATAGTATTTATTGATAAAAATATAATTTATTCAACATGTGGTAGTTTAAAAAACTTTTAATAAATGAAATTATAATATTTATAAATATAATGATATATAAGATTATTTTCTCTAAAAACATTTTAATTTATTTATTTTAGTAGAATTTTAAATTTTGGTTACTCTAAAATTATTTAAACAAAATCCACGGATAACTCCGCAAATCAGCATACATTCGCGCGACGGGGTTGTGTTTCATATATGCTACCCGCGGGTCGTGCAGACAGACTAACTACATGCCAAACTATATTTTGCCTATTGCAAAACAGGCTTAACGGGACGAATCAACTCGTTTTGACAGCTCTAATGGAAATATTATTTAGTCATACAACTCAATGGAGTTTGGACATAGAAATTATAGAATATGTATCTTATTTGTTAGATGAGAGATTGAAACGTGAAATATAATGATTAAAAATAATTAATATTTTTCATGATTCACAAAATTTAATAAATATTTATCATCTTGTTGAATAATTCTAAAAATCATATTCAAGAAATCTTTATAATTTGAAAATTAAACTTCTTTGGTAAACTATAAGTATGATTGTATGAAAATACCATAATTTCGATTTAATCTAATTAAATTAAAATTAGTTATATAGATTTCATATCTATTTAATTTACACGACCAAAATAAAAATATCTATTTATTTAATTTATAAAATAGATGGGTTAGTTGTGATAAATTTTTTAGAAATCTCTAGAAGCAAGTAAGATATCTTTTAATTAATGATAACTGGCTAAAATAAGCAAAATTAATGAGAAAAACGTTAATTGTTATGGAATTAGTTCCAAAAGTATATGAACAAATATATTATACGTAATTAATGTATAATATTGTTCGGAATATGATTTTATAATTAGTTACCATAAGTAAAATCAAAGTTTATTTGATTTCCATAAACATTTGATTTTAGTTCGATTTTTCATTATTAATTCGAATTTATATTCCAAAAAAATTTCAAAGATCCGATTTCAAAATTTCGGGTCAATTTTCTGATTTTGACCCGACCCATTTACATTTGTACTTCTTTTTTAATAGTATAGAGATTCATAAAGCTTCTTTATACATTTTATGAACATGAATTAAGTCAGAATTATCAGGTAGTGTAGAAAATAGCTTTTGGTTGTGAAGATTCTAAAGGTCTTCGTGGACATAATTGAGTGTGCTTGACCACTAATTTGTTTGGATGCATTGCATTGCATGGCTTTAGTATTAGTATTTAGGTGAATCTCCATTTCAAACCAAAGTATATTCGTTTGTCCTATTTCCCCAAATATTCGTCTTCATTTCGCTATTATTGCTTTCCTCCTATCTTTTTCTACCCTATCCATTATCCAAATGTAAGCCCAACCATCAAAAGTCATAAGCAACATTATTATCTCCACGATATAGTTTGCATGACAAAATATACACATCAATAACTTTATCTTGCATATAAAATACTGATATCTCAATAATCACTAATATACATTTTTCATAAACAAAACGAGCAAGCAATTAAAAAGAATCCAAAGGAGAAGTACTAGAGAACTTGTATTACAAAAACAAAAGTACAAAAGAGCTCGTGAGAAGACAATTCTTCGTCTTAAATTTTGGACGAAACGTGGCAGATTATAAGGCTTGGGGGGTCCAATATTTTTGCCTCTGCATGACGTGTTGTTTTCACAGAAAAAGTCATTAGGGATAAGGATTGTGGAGGGCATACACCCACGCGCCACGGCGGATTTCTGATTAAACAAATAATTAGATGTCACTAATTACGCATGTTCTTATCTAATAGTGTCATTACCATTCCCTAATTGGGTGATTAAATATTTCTTTACTATATTTGTCAAATAACTCCACACGCTCGGTTCAGACTGGACACAAGTTTCTTGAAAAAGGATTTTGTTAGATTACAGTGATTACTACTACAAGATGCGAAGGAACGTTCCAACATAAAGTGGGAAAGAGGAGAAAAAACAAGTTCATGACAATTATCAAGATCAATTTTGTTTTATAGTATCGATTTTTGATATATATAATGTTACCACAAATGTTTGTCCATTAAACCGTTATAAGTGGCGCATGAATATCTTTTTCCAAAAGTTTTCAAGAAACTACCTTGTTAATGGATAATCTAAAAATGCTATTCTAACAAATTAAAAGACCCCAAAAGCAATTTTTACCAAGTGTATACCTATATTATACTATATGTCAAATGGCACATGATTCATCCTATGAACTCATATAAATCACCAAGGCCATTTATATACATACTATATAGGGCATGGGACAAAAAGGATAGGATTAAAAAAAGATAGGAGGATTAGGATGAGATGACGCAAACAAAAGCTCTAGCATCTTTGTTTAGGTACCAATAAAAAATGAGTAACGATGATTAATCAAAGTCGTCATCTTTTTTTTCCTTTTGTCAAAGTCGTCATCTTAATTAATCTCTAGCATCTTTCTTTCTTTCTTTTTTAACAGAGCAAACACATGCTTTACCACGTAAAGTAAAAGAGCAACTCGTAGTCTTAGATACATCATACATGCAGAAGTTGATTCCTTGCTTTGAATAATGGAATGCATGATCTCGTTAGGAGAGACCAACGTTTCGTTCGCCTCCGATTACTCTGACATGATATCTCTTTTCGACAACGAAGACGAGTGGCCAACATTTACAGCAGAATTAGCTTCCTTCCGGTCTCTCATTTGTTTTTTTCCTTCTTTTCACATATTATTACGAGTGACCACAAATCTTTCGACAACGAAGAAGTGCTAACACTCGAGCTGACTGTCTAGCCAAAAAAGCTCGGCCTCGTAATAATCTTTTTCCCATGTAAACAAGTCGGTTCATGATTGGCTCCCCTAGCGAAGAGTCTCTTTCCGATATCTTAATAAAAATGGTGTTTGACGGAAAAAAAAAAAAATACATCATACATATAGGCTAAAAGTTACGAGTCTGATTTGGTAACCATAGCTCGGTTAGTAAAATAACGAGTTTTATTAACAGTTAAAGAAAATATGGCTAGAAAGAAGATAGATAAAGTCATAAAGAGTACAAACAATAAAAGATGGAATCGAATTGCTTAAATTTGGTTAATCAATATGTAACAATGAAGCTGAGGCAGATTAGATTCTAAGGTATGTTGACATGGAGGCACAAACTTGAGATTATTTACGATCCCTCAAAACTTGGACAAGAGTTCGTGGTTCAACCGGTCTGATCATCCGGTCCGTATCAGGTTTTTAGTTATTGGTTAGGATGAAACGACACCGTTTTGTCTGCGCTCATACATCAGTATCGCCCATTAGTAATCAGTATCGCCTTACAACCACCGGAGAATTTGCACCAATGGCGTTGAGACTGACGACGCTAAAACGCGCCGTGGTTGAATCCCGGCGCATTTTAGAATTCCGAAGCTTCAACCACGTTTCCACGATCTCTCCTCCCTTGAACGGCGCCATAGATCTCTCTACCGCTTCGCCGCCGCTGGTCTTACCGGAGTTTTATCAGGATCTATCGGATTCTTCCATTGATGACAAGAATTTCAGATTCTGTTTCCCGATTTCCTTTTTCGGTGGATCCATGGAGCTAATGGCTGTTCCCAAGAAGAAGGTATAATTGTTTTTCAGCTTTCCATTTACCACTGCAAATATGAAATTTGAGAGTTTTAGGGTTTTAAAGTGTTGCTGATTTGGAAATTTTCTCTGTTAGCTGATTTTTTCCCTCTAGGGTTTTAGGGAGGGTTACTATTTTCTGGTAAAGATTCGATTTTGAGATCATGAGTGAAAGATTTTGACTTGAATAGACAAGAATCAAAGGCCATTATCTCATAATTGTCGTCTCTTTGGCTGTTTTTTTGGCCATTTCTCTGCTCATTAGGCTCAAAATCATTGATTTTTTTTATCCAGGACAGAACTTTGCTTTGAGAATGATTTGGTTAACGGTAGCTTTTATTTCGTGAATGATGCAGATTTCTAAACACAAGAGAGGGATAAGAAATGGACCAAAGGCCCTTAAACCTACTCCTGTGATCATCCGTTGCAGGTAATGAGATCATTCTCTGCTGTCCCTTAAGTTCTGATGGTTCTTAATCTATCCCTTGGTTAAAGAAAGGCTTTTAAACCTTCAGCAGTTACTGCTACTGAAGAACAATTGTCTGTTTCCTGTTTCTTATACCATCGTCTAGTGGAATCTGTGAGTAATCAACAGGAGCTTGTTGTCTCTGTAAAAACCTGAGACTACTATTTGAAACAACTTGTTATCTTCATTTTTCCATTATGTGCATTGACACTGTTGTGTCTTGGTAGGAGTTGTGGACGAGTTAAGCTGCCACATTTCTACTGCTGCAGCGGTGAGCGGGTAATACCTGAAGAACAAAGCAATTCAAACAACTGATCCAGACTTACTTTATGAATAAAGCTTGCTTAATTTGGACCCGAAAGAAGTCATGCGATTCTTAGTACAGCGCTCAAGGGTTATGATGTAGACTTAGATCACTCTGTTTTGGGCATATCATTTGGTTTTCTTGCAGAATCAAAATACTGCTTGCTTTATTTAGTACACATACTTAGTACTTAGAGGTAATAAACAAGTAGTGCATTTGTTCTACATCTTCGACCATTTAAAGAGGTTTTGCATACGAAGTAATTTGGAAATGTTTGCATTTTAAATGCAGATTTGATCGTGATCAATAGAACAAGAAAAATGAGATGGCCCCAAAAAAGGTGCCCATACTGCCAAATTACACGGTTTCACTGCCACACTAAAGCACACGAAGCAACACGTGTCATTCTCTGGTGGGCTAAAAAATGGTCAACCAGTATCTCTGATTTGCTTCCTTCCATCAATTTCGGCCGCAACAGTTCAACACGCATTCCATCTATCGGACGGCACGTGGCAGTCACAGAAGAATCCAACGGCTGTAGAAGAAGATGAACAAGTTCTCAGCCACAGAGCAGTAACCAACTAAATACAAGCAAAAACAAATACTCTAGTGACAGTCGGCGAGAGAGAGAGAGAGAGAGGCGTTTCAAATTCCGACGTCTTCTTTCACGTTCTTCATTGCAGAGAAGCTCCTTATTAAGCAATTCTATCATCGAGCTACATTTCTTCCTGATCAAGGTTGTTCTAATGGATCCCGAAACTGTAAATTTCTCTGTAGTAGTATAGTATCATAGATTTGCCGATCGTTGATCTCTTCTTATACGTTATTGGTGGGAATGTTACTACAAGCTACGATACAAACCCTAGATTCTGTTAATTTCTACCTGCGTGTGTGGTTTTTACTCAAAGATCTCATGTTGTTCTTGTTCTCTTTCGATGAAGTTTGTGATATAGCATTGATTTGGTTGAATTGAGCTGCAAAAAAGATGAAGTTTGGGAAAATATTTAAGAAGCAAATGGTGCCAGAGTGGGTAGAAGCTTATATGGATTACAATGGCATGAAGAGGGTTTTAAAAGAAATACGTAGCTACAAGCATAGTAAGCTGACTAGAGCAGCGTCGAGAGTGTCGCAGCAGGCGGAAGCGTTGCACCGTTCGTTTAGTGGCCTGTCGTTCCATCCTAGGCATAGTGAACATGCGGGGGATATTGAGGACCAAGTTATAAAAGTTGACACGGTGCAGGAAGATGGTTCTCGCAAGTTGTACGAGACAAAGTTTCTTAAAAAGTCTGAAGAAGGAGGAGAATTCGAAGAGCTGTTCTTTAAGAAGCTTGATGAGAATCTAAACAAAGTTAACAAGTTTTACCGGGATAAAGTTGAGGAAGTGCTGGAGGAAGCGGCTTTGCTAGATAAACAAATGGATGCATTGATTGCGTTAAGGGTCAAGATGCAAAAACCTGATGCAGATAACATGAATTTGGAGAAGCATCCCTCTGATAAGGTCGTAGTAGATACATCTGATAACACAATGAGAACGCCGGGTAAGCAAATATGACAAGAATGTTTATGAGAAGCATCTATTTATGATTAGTTTTTTTATACCAGTTTACTGATTCTTGAGATATTTTCAGGTACTGCGTATACAGATATGGTACATGGTATTGAAAGAACTAACATTCCAGAAGAAGAGGCCTCCCATATCGTGGCTGATATTGTCCCGGTTTCTCATACTGATGGAGATGAAGAGGAAGCCAGTATTGGTGATAAGCAGGATCTCCGTGAAATACTTGAACGTGTGAAGATGAATGATGTGCTTGAATCTCCTATATCTACCTTAAAAGGAGTTTTTGGAGATTCTAATGAACCAATCTCTAAGAAAGGATTGAAAAAAGCAGAGGAACAGTTGAGGCTTGTTTTTAGTGAGTTCTATCAGAAACTTCGTCGTTTGAAGGAATACAGGTGAGGAGAAGGTTCAGCCAAAGTTAAATCTCACATGTAATTTTTCTTTTATATTGCTATGCTGCTGATTTGTCTATGTTTATGTAATTTGAATCAGTTTCATGAATCTTCTGGCATTTTCAAAAATCATGAAGAAGTATGAGAAGGTTAGATATGAAGAGCTTCTTCTATACCTTACAGATTTCTTACTGCAGAGCTAAATTAATGCATGAACAGCGGAATCATGCGATATACTCATTTTTCTCTGGTTAATTTGTAGATTGCTTCGAGGAATGCATCCAGGAACTACATGAAAATTGTGGATAATTCATTGATTGGGAGTTCTGATGAGGTTTGTGTATATTTCAGTCGTAGAATCAGTTTTCCGTTATGATTGTACATCAAATTGTTTTGTTCACTGCATCCTGCTTTAGGTTAACAGACTCCTGGAGAGAGTAGAGGTAACTTTCGTTAAGCACTTTTCAAGTGGTAATCGAAGAGAAGGCATGAAGTGTCTAAGGCCTAAAGTTAAAAGAGAAAGGCACAGGGTTACATTTTTCTCTGGTAAGGGAATCTGAGAGAAAAAGAGTTCAATAATTACAATTGTTCACTGATATTTGCTCTTCAACTTCCTACAGGTTTCTTTTCTGGTTGCTCTATTGCACTTGTTATTGCTGTTGTTTTCAAGATAGAAAGTAGAAAGATCATGGAGAAGAACTACGGTACTGAATACATGGCAAATATTATCCCTCTTTACAGGAAATTATTCTAGTCACTTACTCAGAACATGTGCTCAGAAAATTAGTAAATAGATCTTTCTTCTCACACTGACGAACATTGCATGTCCTGCAGCTTATTTGGATTCATCATTCTTCATATGCTCATGTACTCGGCGAATATATACTTCTGGAGGCGTTATAGAGTCAACTATACATTCATCTTTGGTTTCAAGCAGGGAACAGAGTTGGGTTACAGAGAAGTTTTCCTGGTAAGCACTGGTCTTGCGGTGCTTGCTTTCGTCTGTTTCCTGCTAAATTTGCAGCTTGATATGGACTGGAGGATGAAAGATCATAAGAAACTCCCTGAAGTTATTCCTTTGGGTTTGGTCACTGTAAGATACTTTTTCTGTGTTTTATGCAAATCTTTTAATAAGATGGAATACATTTTGGCTTAAACAATCCTTTTTATGTGCAGATTGTTCTTTTCATACTTTTTTGTCCTTTCAACATCATATACCGCTCAAGTCGGTTTTTCTTTATACGATCACTGTTTCACTGCATTTGTGCCCCTCTCTACGAGGTGATCGTATTAAACTGTCAAATACATACGTACCAGTTGCTAAAACCAATAACAGAAAAGATTTCTCTTCATGTTTTTATTCTTTATCACAGGTTACACTTCCAGATTTTTTCTTGGGAGATCACCTAACCAGCCAGGTTTTGTATTTGCATTATTAATGTTCGTGTTGACAGTAAATGATTCAGAATAATAAGCTGATCTTATCTGTTTTGGTAAGTTAAGGTACAAGCCATAAGGAGTTTTGAGCTATTCATTTGCTACTATGGGTTAGGAGGATACTTGCAGAGGCAAAACAAGTGTCATAGTCATGGTGTTTACAATGCCTTCTACTTTGTCGTTGCTGTTATACCCTACTGGCTCCGCTTTCTCCAGGTATCACACAATTCAATCTCCTCTTATTTTGTTACTGCCTTCACTGTTTCTATCACATCCGAATCTAGAACTTATTATATGTATCACTTTCTTGCAGTGCATACGCAGATTATGCGAAGAAAAAGAATCCGTACATGGATACAATGCTCTGAAATATATGTTGACAATCATTGCAGTCATTATAAGAACAGCGTATGAACTGAAAAAGGGTCGCACTTGGATGATTTTGGCTCTTGTAAGCTCAGGTGTAGCGACAGGAATGAACACATTCTGGGACATTGTTATAGACTGGGGACTCCTCCGTAGGCATTCCCAGAATCCATACCTAAGGGATAAACTGCTTGTCCCTCACAAGAGCGTCTATTTCGCAGCCATGGTAAGTAGTAACATTACAACATCAGAGAATGAATGTCATGTCATAAAGATTCTGGTTAAATAGAATTTGATTTTGACAGGTAGTGAATGTGATTTTAAGAGTGGCATGGATGCAGCTAGTGCTAGAGTTCAACTTGAAGTCGCTTCACAAAATCGCAGTAACAAGCATTATTTCATGTTTAGAGATTGTTCGCCGGGGAATATGGAGCTTCTTCAGGTAACAATTTGTTCTATATATATAAAAAGGTCCAACTTGTTATGAATGAAATGAATGATTAGTAATGTGGAGTTAAACTTTTCAGGTTGGAGAATGAGCACTTGAACAATGTAGGTAAATACAGAGCCTTCAAGTCAGTTCCACATCCTTTCCATTACTACGATGACGACGACGTTGACAAAGACGACTGAGCCATCCTAATAAGTTAATAACACACACACACACTCTCTCTGTGATTATGTCTGATGATTGACCACTAAAATAATACAGATATTAGCCTTAATAGGAACAGTTTGTGTTTTTTTTCCGACGAATCAAGTCAACATGTAAAGACATATATATACATGAATCCATAGAGTTTACAAACTTTTATTGAAAAATTAACTTTAAAAAGTTTTAGATTCAGTTGATATTAGAAAATCCACAACGGAGATCGTATGCTCTTCTCCTATCTTCGTCCATCAACTCTGCCACACCGATTCTGACCAGATCATAAACCCTCAAAACAGCCTTGGAAAGCCCAGCCTCGCCATCCAACACTTCTATGATCTCCTCGCACCGCCTCTCAATGGAAATTGCCACCGACTTCGAGGATCCGCGTTTGTTGATTCCCAACACAGCGTACCAGTCGGGCTCTCCTGTGACCATGCGATTGTTAGCTACCGTCAAAAGGATTCTATAAGCAGCGACGTGTGCATAAGGTTCAGGAGCGTCAGGATTCGCTATGGAGATTGAAATAGCACATCGTAATGCAAGTTCGAGATTTCCTCTCTCAAAGTTCTCTTCACAGTAACGAAGAAGCTCGTTAATCTTTTTTGACATTCTCTCAAGCTCTCTTTTTTGCAGAAAAAAAGATGAATGATCACTTACGACTCAAGTAAACTCAATAATTAGAACTTAGAAGTAAGAGTGTTCGTTGTTTAATTTCCTTTTTTTTGTAATCGAAAAAAGGAAACTTCTGCATTTTTTTGTACCCTAAGAAAAAGGAAATTTATGTTACCCTAACATTTCTCCTTCCTTGAGATCCAAGGATCACATAATGCTAAACCAAACCGGTCTATTGACAAGAACCAAATAATTCTAGTTCGGTTTGTGTTCTGAATATGTGTGCTTAACCAATAAGACATATACACGTGTCAAAATCCCTTACATCGTCATCGAGCTTCGTCTACACAATCGAGGGAAGAAGCAAAAGGAAGACGAAGAGAGATTCGAACGAAATTCTCTGGATTCTTCAAAATGTTTCTCCAATCGCCAAAATTATGGAAGATGCTTCTAATTCTAGCGATTTGGTCACCAATTTCACACTCGCTTCACTTCGATCTACACTCAGGTCGCACAAAATGTATCGCCGAAGACATCAAAAGCAATTCCATGACTGTTGGTAAATACAACATCGATAATCCTCACGATGGTCAAGCTTTACCACAATCTCACAAAATCTCCGTCAAGGTACACAGATCTCTGCGAATTTTGACCTAATTTCTCGAATTTTGTTATTGTTCGATTATAGATCTGAAATTTCGTATATAAAAGGTGACTTCTAACTCCGGGAACAATTACCATCACGCGGAACAAGTTGATTCGGGACAATTCGCGTTCTCTGCTATAGAAGCAGGTGATTACATGGCTTGCTTCACTGCTGTTGATCATAAGCCTGAGGTTTCGTTGAGCATTGATTTTGAGTGGAAGACTGGTGTTCAATCTAAAAGCTGGGCTAATGTTGCTAAGAAGAGCCAAGTCGAAGTAAGTTAGATTATGAGAAGCTGATTCTGATTATATATGCATAGATAACGAAATTGTTGAAGCTAGTGTTAGGCTGGTTACAATGTTGATCCTCCATGTGTGTTCTTATGATAGTGAGTTCAATTTCTCTTCTCTTTGTGTAGATTATGAGAAGCTGATCTGATTATATACATAGATAACGTAATTTCTCAGCTTGAGGCTCGTAATAGCGAAATTGTTGAAGCTAGTGGCTGGTTACACTGTTGATCCTCCATGTGTGTTGTTGTTATGCATTTTGTGGCAGGTTATGGAATTTGAAGTAAAGAGTCTTCTTGATACCGTTAACTCGATTCATGAAGAGATGTATTATCTTAGAGATAGGTAAAAGTCTTTGTCTTTTCTTTCTTCATTGTTTGGTAATCAAGAAGATCCTGTTTAGTGTTTACATGACTTGATTTTGGTGTGGTCTCAGGGAAGAAGAAATGCAAGATCTGAACCGGTCCACTAACACGAAAATGGCATGGTTGAGTGTTCTCTCGTTTTTCGTCTGCATAGGAGTGGCAGGGATGCAGTTTTTGCACTTGAAGACGTTTTTCGAGAAGAAGAAGGTTATCTGAAACTCTACGCGGTTGGTTATGCTCTTTCTGTTTTCTTAGCCCAAACAAACAATCTTCTCTTCTTTTGGGTGTTGTACATTAGATCAATGGCTGCTACCATGTTCTCTAAGACTTAGGAATTTGGTTTGTGTTGCATCATTTGCTTTTTTCCAAGATAAGCTCAGTTTTTGTTTAGATTTGTTGGTCCTTAGGAAACTTTGATGGTTTAAAATCAAATAAACTGTGTTTGTCTAGTATATACAGCTTATCTCAATCAGAGCCAATTCTTGGACTCACTCTGATAATTATACATGTAAACATGCCATGTCATATTTTGGAATACAAGTGGAACCTTGGGCAAGATTGCTACGTTATGTTACATATCATTGTTTTAAAAAAAATCGTATTCAAATCCAACAGAACGAAGCAATATACAAACGTGTTAGAAAAAAAAAACAAGGCAAAACACTGAGATCCATGAAGGTTTTACATTTTATAATAGTGCTGCTTCCTTCATCGACCGGTGCTGAACTGCTGATAAACAGTTGACTTTCTGGTTTACAAAAAAAAAAAAAAAAAAAAACAGTTGACTTTCCAATATGTACAAAAATACCCTCACATAGTCCTACAAGCATTAAGATATCCCAAGCAAAGTGAGGGTAATTCGGGTAATATCAATAAACGAAAAATGGTAAGCGAGGGAAGAAGGCCTAATTATAAATCTGAATGAATTGATAATCTATTTTATAACGCGTGATATTCGTGTTATTGACCGTCAAAATTAAAAATTATCTGCTTTGTTATCAAATCTCTGCTCTTTGCTTTCACAATCAATCTCACTTTGAATTTTTTATTTCATTTTATGGGCAATCAATAATACGAATTCAGATTTATTGTAGTCTTGTCTGATTCGTGGTGCGTTTTGTTCCGATCACTGACGTTGAAGATTTCAAACACGTGTTTGAGATCTTTTGATTTCGCCGTCTCAAAAACACGCTCAGGTTTGATCAGTGTGAATTCAGATCTCTGTATTTGAATTCAGATCGTGTAGATAAACTGTTTAGTTTTTGATTGACTTCCATTGATGACGAAGCTCGTAGAGTTCCATTGAGTTTCCGATGAATTATTATTATCTTTGCGCTTCTGATTTGATGTATTTATGCAATTACAGAGCTGAGTTTTGTTACTGAGGTTTTGAAGTATTGAGATTGTACTCTTAAAAGATGCTTTTGTCTGCACTTCTTATGTCTGTTGGGATAAACTCTTGCCTATGTGTATTGTTCTTCATACTTTACTCTGTACTGAGGAAGCAGCCACGCAACTACGAGGTTTTTTTACCTCGTCGACTCGCAGATGGGACGTCTAAACGTAGACGTAACAAAGTGGCAAGGTATATACCTTCTGTTAAATGGATTTGGAAATCATGGAGGCCAACAGAAAAGGAACTGATGGAATCCTCTGGCTTGGATGGTGTTGTCTTTATGAGAATGATTACTTTCAGGTAAATTGGGACTATCTTAAGACTTGAGTTTCTACCTTTTCTTTGTTTAACAAATAACAACATATCATGCATCAATGGTGATTATTCTCTCATTCTGCAGTTTGAAAGTGTTCTTCTTTGCTGGGATCATCGGTGTTTTTGTTCTCTTGCCTGTGAACTGCTTTGGAGATCAACTTACAGTGATTGACTACGCTGACTGGTCTGCTAATTCTTTGGATCTTTTTTCTGTTGCAAACCTCAAAATCCGCTCACAATGGTAACCTCAAGCTTTTTTTGTTATTACTACTCTAACTCTACGAAATACTAAACATCTTATTGGTTTCTTCAAGGCTATGGGTTCACTTTGGAGCTATATATCTTGTGACTGCATTTGTCTGCTGTCTTCTTTACTTTGTAAGGGCATGTTTTCTGGTTACTGAAATTATTTTATCGAAATGAATATCTTAGTGATGACTCTTTAGAAGACTGTCACTAGTATTCTCACTCAGATATATTGTCACTAGTTTCGGCTTTCTTTGACAGGAATTTAGATATATTGCCTTGAAAAGGATTGAGCATTTCTATTCATCCAAACCTCAGCCAGAACAGTTTACCATTTTGGTTCGCAATATTCCCTCTACAGATGGAAGCAGTGTGAGCGACACTGTTGATAGGTTCTTTGGAGAAAACCATTTCTCTACTTACCTGTCTCATGTGGTTATCCATCGAACAAGTAAACTTCGGAGTGTCGTTGTAAGTACAGAAACAGCTATCTGCTTTCCATACGACGGTATATCTTTGTATGTGCATGCTATTGCGACCTATTACTCTTGGTTACCCTTCTTTTTCAATCCTGGCTCTTGCAGGATAAGGCTAAAAAGTTATATAAACAAGTGAAACATAAGAAGCCAGTTAAGAAGAAGCCAATGAGATTCTTCAGTCGCAGAGACACTCCTGAGGGTCACTATGAGAACGTGTTACAGGAAATGGAACAGAACATACGATTGGGGCAAGCTGAAGTTTCAGCACCTGGAAAAGTATGCCACAGATGGTTTAGCACCTGTTTATTATGTCTGGCTTGCAAATATATATAACCTGCGAACTGGATACTTTCGTCTCATTATTTGCATGTTTTCTCTCATCATGTAGGAAGTTCGAGCGGCTTTTGTATCATTCAAGTCTCGATATGGTGCTGCAACGGCACTCCACATGCCACAATCAATCAACCCCACTTACTGGCTCACAGAACCAGCACCAGAACCTCATGACGTCCACTGGCCTTTCTTCTCTGCATCATTTATGCAGAAATGGCTTGCTAAAATTCTGGTTGTATTCGCTTGTCTCCTCCTTACCATCTTGTTTCTTGTTCCAGTAGTACTTGTCCAAGGTCTCACCAACCTGCCTGCACTAGAATTTATGTTCCCGTTCTTGACATTAATTCTATCAATGTAAGTGAAGATTTTTCATTTCCATTACCTTTGAACAACACTTTAAGCTTATTGTTCTAAACGTTAGCAATCTCTGTTGCAGGAAAGTTGTAAGTCAAATAATAACTGGATACCTTCCAAGTCTTATACTTCAGACGTCTCTGAAAGTCGTACCTCCCATCATGGAGTTTCTCTCTTCTATCCAAGGGCACATTTGCCACAGCGATATACAAAAGAGTGCTTGTAACAAGGTGATCTGGTTCACAATATGGAATGTGTTTTTTGCAACTGTTTTCTCTGGATCAGCCTTCTACAAGCTTTCTGTAGTTCTCGATCCAAAGGAAATTCCGGTCAAGCTGGCTGTGGCTGTTCCGGCTCAGGTAAAAAAACTTCCCCCACCATTTCTTGGCACACACAATGGTCACGACTCAGAGTGGTTTACATGATTTGCAGGCTTCGTTTTTCATCGCTTATGTTGTGACAACAGGATGGACAGATACTCTGACTGAACTCTTCCGTGTAGTTCCCTTCATGGTTAGTTACATAAAAAGATCATTTGAACCGTCAGATGACAATGAATTTGTTGTCCCACCAATGCGGTACCACAGAGACACCCCTAGAGTTCTCTTCTTTGGGCTTCTTGGGATTACATACTTCTTCTTAGCTCCATTGATTCTTCCTTTCATCCTTCTCTACTTTTGCCTTGCATACATCATCTACCGAAACCAGGTACGTATGACACACATCTGATACTCCTTTTGATTTCCTCCTTGCACTAGACTAAGCACTCAATTTGCGTTTCGGGATGCAGTTTATGAACGTGTATGCTCCAAAGTTTGATACAGGCGGGATGTTTTGGCCAATGATACACTATACGATGATATTCTCTCTTGTACTCATGCACGCAATTGCGATCGGTCTATTTGCGCTAAAGAAGATGGAACTAGCTACATACTTGCTTGTCCCTCTTCCCGTTTGTACTCTTCTCTTCAACGAGTTCTGTCGTAAACGCTTCATGCCTATATTCACTGCTTATCCTGCTGAGGTACAAATCCCTCTCACACACACATACAGAGAAGCAAACCTGAAATCATTTCAAGATGTATGGTTTTAACTCTTTGTGTTTTTGTGGTGTCTTTAGGTGTTGACAAAGAGAGATAAGGAAGATCGAAATGATCCAAGAATGCCTGAGTTTTACAATAACTTGGTCAGTGCATACCAAGATCCTGCTCTGCTCCCACTTCGATTCTCAGGATCAGGAAGCAGAAATGATAGCCTCACTAGTCCTCTTCTCTCTTCGTCTGAGGTTTGATCCTCTCCAGTCTCCTATACAACTTTACCTGTCTCTTCCTCTGTACATGCATGTGCATATATATACCTCAAAAGTCATTAGAGATCTACATTGGAAACTCAATACCATCATTTATTTGTAAATCTTTATTTACTACAGAACCAGTCATTAGATAGATTACATCAATGAGTTGTTTTTTTTTTTTTTTTTTTTTTTTTTTTTTATCAATGAGTTGTTTATTCTTGTTTTCTGCTTTGATTTAAAAGGGGTAATCAAAGTGTTGAATATTTGATTAAATAACAATACTAAACGTTATACTTTTATCTAACCATTGCTCTTATAGACATTACTTGTTTGTTACAAGAATACGTTAAAACTAAATCATAACAAGAGTGATAATTTTTTTTTTTTTCGTTTAACATAATGTGAACGGAATGTTTATCATTTTACTTTCTCTGAAAAAAGAGACAAAAAATACAAATTGCAAAGAGAATGTATTTTCATGGAAATAGGTATCAAAAGATTTATCTCTGATGATATACGCCATCTTTATTCTTTTATCGAGCTCTAGTCCTAATCAGATATTGGTGAAATGGATATGACGGGTCATCTGATATTTATATTGGTTAGAACAACTTGATCTTTGTAACCAATATTAAATAAAAATTTCCGAAAACACATGAAAATGAAAATAGGAAATTATACATAGAGTAAATAATATGGTTTTAGCCTTTTAGGGTCCACGTTAATCATATTAACCGTCGCCATCACCACATTCCCGTAAATTAAAATTTTAAAACATGAAATATCGTCGGATTAACGGCTTTTCATCACTATATAATACTCCAAAATAAAAAAAAAAAAACAGGCAAAAACTATATTAATTATTAATTAAAGTTTAAGCTATTTGGATTAAAAGTAGAGAGCAATTTTAGCCAAAAACAATGGGGATATAGGGAACTTTTAGCTTTGACCAAATCTCTTTGGTCCCAGTAATCAAAATTTGGTGTTCCATTACATAAAGTAAACTCTTTGAATCTGACCATTTTTCACAAAGATATCGTTTATTGAATCTAAACAATTCCATGTCATACATCTATAATCTATTATTGAGCATCTTTAGCACTGCTTCAATTAATTCGGCTTCATAGCTTCACAATCTTAGGGAAATGATAAAAAGGCTAGGATTGAAATGATACCTAATATCGATGTTGATATGATGACTTAAGACCATTGTTCTTGTTCATCACCGCTAGATCTTTTTCATTTTTCACGAAATACAATTATTCAACGAGATATATTATAGTGGGACCTATAATTGTGGGAACCATTGGTATGGGTTTTGGTCACCATCAAAAATGAAAAAAAGCCAAAGGGCTCTTGAATTATTTTGCTTTCATGTAATACTATTGAATAGTTTCCAAAATAAACTACAAATAGTAAAGAATCATTAATCTAAGTTTGATAATGTTCCACATATTTTTTGTTGCTAGAATTTTGGTTCTGTAATATTGCAACATGTATAAAATTTCCTAAAACAAAATATTCAAAAAAATGGTGAAAGAGGCGAAAGTGTGTATTATTAATGAGGTACGAAGAATGGTCCCCATAATTCGATTTGATGAGTGTATTTTGGTCCATTTTGTAAAACATGTGTAACAACAACTTAGGGTTTGCGAAACCATATAAGACCTATCTAATCATTTACCTTTAACAAAAAAAAAAAAAAAATCATTTACGCCGTTGAAAAAACATATAAATGTCTAATATCATCGGTTAGACTCACACCAAACATTATCGGTAATCACTACTTTTAAAAATCATATTGCGTTTATATAATCAAGAACTATAACCTTTTTTTTCCAAGAACTATAGTTACTCGTAGCTTTTGTTAATATCCTCAACAAATCATTTACACTATTATAGTACTTGTTATTTTTATATAGGTCTATTTTTATCTTTCGACATTTGAGCTCTTTTTGTTGTTTTTGTTTTATTATTGCCAACAATTAGAGCGTATTTATGACAGCATAAATAACATCATTTCATTATTTGGGGGCAAATATAAAAAAAAAAAAAAAAACAGAGGGAAGGGACTTTGACCTTTCCCTGACCAAAAACCCAGACAATCCCTTTCTGCTTCTTTTATCTCTCTCTCTGATAAACCTACACTCTCTTCTTCTTCTCTCTTTCTTCTACTTTTCCAAAGCCAAAGGTCTTTCTCTCTTTTTTTCCTCTCAGCAGCCATGGAAGAAAAAACTCAGAGTCATCATCATCATCACAGTTCCAACAAAAACAACCCCAATTCCAAATCAAGAACACCTCTTCTCCACAAGCCTTGTCATCATCACCATGTTCAAACCAATCCTCCTCCTTTTCTTTTGCACCCTTCTTCTCACCAAAACCTCAATCTTGTTGCCTCAAATCTTCCTTCTAGCTACTACTACTATTACTACTGCTACTTCTACTCTCAATTTCACAACTCTCTTCCTCCTCCTCCTCCTCTTCTTCCTCTTCCTCCTCCTCCTTTACTTCCTCTTCCTCCTCCTCACTCAATGACCCGTTTCCACAAATCTCTCCCTGTTTCTCAAGGTGACTAAACTATCTTTTTTTTTTTTGTTCTTGGTTTATTCTTTGCATGTTTTGTTTTTTCTTGGCCTAAAGGTTTAGGATCCTCACCTATGTCAAGATTTGTTTATTTTTCTTGGACGAGGTTTTCAAGGCTATCTCTTTCTCGCTCTTGTTTTGGTGTGCTTTCCCACACAAACTCTAGTATTGTGTAAATTGTCTAAATGGTCCTCCTTCTCTGTAGTCTGTACAATATTCACTTTACTTTAAATGTTCTCTTTCTTTAATGTGTTAATGTCTGAAAACAAACTCTCTGTCTCCTTTAATACTGTCTCTATTGGTACTGATTTACTTGCATCTTTTTGTGTTTCAATCCAAAATAATTAAAGTCTAATTTGACTTTGACTCACCCATTTTTTGCTTCTTCCACCATTATCTGTCACAACAGTTGTGGAGAGAAAGCAGCAACAACAGCAGAAGAAGAAGATACAAGTTTCTAACAACAAAGCGAGTGGGTCCATAGCAATAGAAGAAGCAGCATTAGTGGTTGCTAAAAGACCTGACTTTGGTGGTCAAGAAGGTTCTGTCATTTATCTCCTCGCCAACCATTTTCTTGTCAAGTTTGATTCTTCACAGAGGATTTACCATTACAACGTTGAGATCTCTCCTCAGCCTTCAAAGGAAATTGCTCGGATGATCAAACAGAAGCTTGTGGAGACCGATGTGAATAGTTTCTCCGGTGTTGTTCCGGCTTTTGATGGTAGGCAAAACATTTATAGTCCTGTGGAGTTTCAGGGCGATAGGCTTGAGTTCTTTGTTAATCTCTCTATCCCATCTTGCAAGGGTGTAATGAATTACGGTGACTTGCGAGAGAAGCAACCTCAGAAGAAGATTGATAAACTGTTTAGGGTTAACATGAGGCTTGTGTCTAAGTTTGATGGTAAGGAACAGAGAAAGGAAGGAGAAGATTGGGCTCCTCTGCCTCCAGAATACATTCATGCTCTTGATGTTATCTTGAGGGAGAATCCAATGGAGAAGTGTACGTCGATTGGAAGATCGTTTTACTCGAGTTCTATGGGTGGTTCCAAGGAGATTGGAGGAGGAGCTGTTGGACTCAGAGGGTTTTTCCAGAGTCTTAGGCAGACTCAACAAGGTTTAGCACTTAACATGGATCTCTCAATCACAGCTTTCCATGAAAGCATTGGAGTAATAGCTTACTTGCAGAAGCGGCTCGAGTTTCTCAAGGACCTTTCTAGGAACAAAGATACAGAATTGAATCTAGAGGAAAAGAGAGAAGTGGAGAAAGCACTTAAGAACATAAGAATCTTTGTTTGCCATAGAGAAACAGTTCAAAGGTATCGGGTTTACGGGTTAACAGAGGAGATTACCGATAATATATGGTTTCCGGATAGAGATGGGAAGAACTTAAGGCTTATGAGCTACTTTAAAGATCATTATGGTTATGAGATTCAGTATAAGAACTTACCGTGTCTGCAAATCAGTAGGGCAAGACCTTGCTACCTTCCTATGGAACTATGTATGATCTGTGAAGGTCAAAAGTTTCTTGGGAAGCTTTCGGATGATCAAGCTGCAAAGATCATGAAAATGGGCTGCCAAAAACCAAATGAAAGGAAAGCTATTATTGATAAGGTTATGACAGGATTGGTCGGTCCGTCGAGGTAATTCAAATAATATGAGTTTCTATATTCGAGTACTAAAACATCGAACAGGTTTTTAATCTTTCGTTTCCTCGGTTTGACAGCGGAAACCAAACAAGAGAATTCAACCTCGAGGTTTCAAGAGAAATGACATTGCTGAAAGGAAGAATACTTCAGCCTCCAAAGCTTAAACTTGACCGGCCAAGGAACCTTAAAGAAAGTAGAGCTTTTAAAGGAACCCGGATCGAGAGATGGGCTTTGATGAGTATTGGAGGCAGCTCGGATCAGAAATCTACAATTTCCAAGTTCATAAACGAGCTCACTCAAAAGTGTGAGCATTTGGGAGTCTTCTTAAGCAAGAACACATTAAGCAGCACTTTCTTTGAACCATCACACATACTCAACAACATTTCGCTTCTCGAATCGAAACTGAAGGAGATTCAAAGAGCGGCGTCCAACAATCTCCAGCTGATTATCTGTGTAATGGAGAAAAAACATAAAGGGTACGGAGATCTTAAGCGAATAGCAGAGACAAGAATTGGTGTTGTGACGCAATGCTGCTTATACCCTAACATCACTAAGCTCAGTTCTCAGTTCGTTTCAAACTTAGCTCTCAAGATAAACGCCAAGATCGGCGGATCCATGACCGAGCTCTACAACTCAATACCTTCTCACATCCCAAGACTACTTAGACCCGATGAGCCGGTTATCTTCATGGGAGCTGATGTAACGCATCCTCATCCATTCGATGACTGTAGCCCTTCAGTAGCGGCTGTGGTCGGGAGCATAAACTGGCCAGAAGCTAACAGATACGTCTCGAGAATGAGATCTCAGACTCATAGGCAAGAGATCATTCAAGATCTTGACTTGATGGTCAAGGAACTTCTTGACGATTTCTACAAAGCGGTAAACAAGCTTCCGAATCGAATCATATTCTTCAGAGACGGTGTGAGCGAGACA